GTGGTATAGCGGTAAGGACGCTCACCGACCATGCACATGGTTCGGGGTTCGATCCCGGGCCACCGACGCACTCCTTTACCTCGCTAAATCAGTAATAGAACTTGTAAAGAGGAAAGATTGGGCATGAGGCTAGCAGCCCCATCCTATAAAAATAATCACCATTGCTACAGAAACTTCAAGTCACCAGGTTGGAGTAGCCCTATGTTGCACTGGGGAACGTGAAGGAAAAATAAAGGTATAAACAGGAGCTGTTTTCGTTGTTGGTCAGTGCTTCCATTATTCTTCTATATAGTCTATTCATGAGTAGGCTTCATTTCATTTAATAATAAGATAGTTTTATGAATGTATTTAAAATAGGGTTTTCACATTTTCAAGGTGTTATATAACAGATATGTTAGAAATTAGAGGATAATTAGCACTGGCAGAGAGAGATAGATATACGTGTAAACTATTCTTCGCTTAAGGTCAATATGATATGGCCTCAAATTAATCATATTTCATCAGTGAATTATTTATACACACACAGAAATAATAGACAAATAAATAATAATAATAATTTTAGACAAAAAATATTTGAATCATTCAGAAATACGATATTTTTCGGTGTCAAATACGAGATCGGATTTAAGCAGAAATCAGATGAAATGAAATTTAGAAAATGTCTTTAAAATAAAAAGTTAAAAGGGATGCTGACTAAAATATGCATGATATAAGGAATTAGAGAAACTTGATTCTTTGTGATATGTTATATTTTAGTGATTAGATGAATTATACAATCACTTGTTGTTGGCTGGATTGAAGCAGTGGAGCTGTGGTTCACCGGTGTAGACACTCGACCCATCCAATCACTGGGTCACAGATTCAAACGACTTTCCACCTACTGTGGATTGGATAGCCAGGTAGCATCACTAGCCCTTACGCATCAGCTGTGGCTTATTACCAAATACATGGAATCATAGGGGTTGGAAAGCAAAAAAGATAGCCAAAAGACCTTTCTAGACTAAAAGGAATTAGTGGATTGAAACAGTGTGTGGAAAAACGGTATGTAGAAGTTAGGACAGCAGTAGATAGCCTAGGAGAAGGGAGGGAGTAATTGTTTCAACTACAGGCAGACGGAAGGAATAGAAAACCAGAATCGGAAATGAAAGATACTCTAAAATTTATCACCTTGAAATAAGTGTAGAAATCTTATGCACTCAGCATAAACAACAAAGTTCGAATTTTTAACGTGAATGTCAAATCAGTTCTTCTATGTGGATCAGAAGCTTGTCATTTGCATCACGGGAAACACTTCCAACAGTCCAGTGCATAATTTTATCAACACCTGCCTCTACTAGCTCGACAGTGAAGATCACATGGCCAGTCAGAATGGATTAGCAACAAACTCTTGGAGAGAATTAATGAAGAATCTGTTGCCCGAAAAGCACAGCAAAGGGAATGGAAATGGGTGAGACACACACTAAGGATACCATTGGGTGATATCACGCACCAGGTCGTTGCCTGAGTGGAACCGAGTGGGAAACAACCAGCTGAGCTCGAGTCCAAGAGTGACAAGGAAGATATTGTATGATAAAGAGATAAGAGCGTATAGGCAATTGTTAGGCAAACAAAAGGGGACTGAAGAAAACAGTACAAGGTAGACATATCTGTTGAAGCTCTACGTCCTAATGGGAGCCCAAAAGAATAATATAATATCTGAAGTATTCAAGTATGTACTAATACTGGGATTAAATCGTTCTCGAAGGATTTTTCAAACGGTTATTCCTTCAAAGTCCAATCTAAGAATAATTTCGGTAGAAGATATTTTCACAGTAAGTTGTGGAAATTAGATGGTTGGAGGCAGTCGGCCACAAGAAGCCATGCTTGATCTAGGTTTCGTGCTAGTTGGCACTCACCAGTTGGCAAGGCGTATCTGCAACTACCTCAAAGGAACTCGTTTCCTCCTGAGACTCGAACCTGTGCCACTCAGTGGTGCAGTCAGAGACGTTATCACTGAGCTATTCAGGCTCGTGACTGACCTCCTGTAGGACTATATTAGATATTTTTGTTTGTCGAAGGCTTTGAGCCGTTTGCCTTTAACCATCTAATATTAACATTTCACAGTGCACCCTGATGGCGATTGTAATTGTAATTAATGATTCATCATTTTTTCCAACGTACAAAGCTCTCATGTTATTCACTTATGAATATTTGATATCGCCATGTTTTGAAGCTGATTGGTTTTTATATTCATATGTGATTTGATAAATTAAATTCAGCGATGAAATCATCTTCAGAGGTTGTACAGTCGTAATTGTATTTATTAAACGCGTATGGTAGTTCATTTTTTGAGTAATAGGTGGTACTGGGGGAGGTGGGGTAAGATAATTGATGTAATTACTCGGAGGTGACTTGAAAGTAAAATTAATTAATTAATTAATTAATACGTCAACAAAGAAGAAAGGATTATTAATACGATGAGGTGGAAATTGTTATTTAATGGTAAGTTGGCTGAGTGTCCATCTAACAAGAGTGAAGTGAGTGAGAAAATGTACACAAGGAACATGTGAGAGTGATTAAAGTGAATTAATTAGTACGAATAAAACCAAACTAATTATTGAAATTAAATCAATATTAATATTGATAATGATTGGCTTTTGATTGAACACTGGTTACTGACTATAATCCAATCAAAGTATCCATTACAGTCCCACAGGAGGTCAATCGCGAGCCTGAATAGCTCATTGGTGACGTCTCTGACTGCAGGCGGTATTGGGTGACGTGGGTTCGAATCTTAGAAGGGAAATGAGTTCCTTCAAGGTAGTTGCAGATACGCCTTGCCGACTGGTGAGTGCCAACTAGGATGATACCTAGATGAAGCATGGCTTCCTGTGGCCGATTGCCTTCAACTATCTAATGATGATATAGTGTGGGATTCTTAGTATTTGACACAATATTGCCTCTAATTCACCCAACACGAAAAATATTCATCACAGGGTATAGTTAAACAAAATTGATAATGCAGCTTTTTGTCATTAGAAAAAGACGTAAACAGAGAAGAGCATTTTTTTATTTATTTACGACGATTTATTTTCATAAACTTCTGTACAATAATCGTAATTATATTTAACAAGAAAATCACGAAAACCAATCAGATACTGATAAAATTTGTCCTGGAAAATCGTATTACGCAATCTGTGGTGTAGTCTGGAAAGGAGCGACTAATTGGGAATTAGAAAAGAGGGCAGAAGTTGGCATGAAATCACTAATCAATATGACTGTGTACAAGAAATAGTGGAAAGGTGACTGTGTTTTTATTAAATGTGTGTGAAAATGCAATGTTATTAATATACAGTGATAGAGCGATAACAAAATATGGATGATGGGAATAACAATGTGATACTAATGAAAAGAAGCGAAATTATAATAAGAACGTTACTCTGGCCACAGTAGGACAAGTGGATGTATGTAGTGGTTTTGAACGCGAAGGTTGGGTTTCAGATCCTGAATAGCCAATCATTCAGCTTGTACACATGGCGTATTCGCACAAAGGGACTTGGAATTCATTACGTGATATGATTTTCGACGACAAATTTTACAAGTATCTAATTCGTCTAGTGATTTCCTTGTTAAAGATAATTACCGTTGGAGGATTTCATTATGAGCTGACATTAGTTAGAAAAACCTTTGGAAGACCAGCACTGGAGTACTGGAAAGCTGTTTCGTCAGCCTAGTCTAGGACTCTTCATCAGTATGCACCCACCTCCGGGATTTGAACCCAGGACCCTCTGGTCACAAGATGAGCTAGCTCGTAGACCATTAGGCCACCAAGGCCCGACCAATGGGCAATCCATGAATTTTAATGCCTGCTAATTCACGGTGTAGTGCGTCGGTGGTTTTGCGGTTAGGACGCTCGCCGACCATGCACATGGTTCGGGGTTCGATCCCCGGCAACCGACTCACTCCTTTACCCCACTAAGCCAGGAATAATGCTGGTAATGAGGAAAGGTTGGACATGAGGCTAGCAACCCCATGCTGTAAAATTAAATACTGCTACAGGAACTTCAAGTCACTAGCTTGGAGTAGCCCTATGTTCCACTGGGGAACGTGAAGGAGAAAAAAAAGAAATTCACGATATGGAGCAACCACTTCACAATGCATTCTTCCAGCTGCTGTACCCTTTTGGTCACGGCTTCCCCCTAGAATCCAGGGTTAACTGCCTGAAAAGGGCCAGTTGCTAGTCAGTATGAGATCAATTTTTCAAAATCCTTCAACCAGGCAAACAAAACTCCCTATAAAACCAATACTTGAGAAATAAAATTACGATCGTACAGCTTATGAAAATGAATCGTCGAAAAGGAAAATTTCCTTCTCTGCTTACTTCACTTCTTGTGGCTTAATATTGGGAATATTTCATCCATTTGTCACAAGCCGTGAGAATAAAGTCAAAAGTTTACAAAAATGTAAAATAATCATACTGCTAACAACTAAACTATAAGGCAATCAACATAATTTCATCATAAATTACAAGTAGGAGAAGATAATAGAGTCAATCATTTTGCTAATTACATAGTAATTTATAAGTCCCATGCTTATCACTTTCTCTTTCAAATAGAACGCGGGTGAGCCAAATAGGGTACTATTGAGCTTCGGTACTTGGCTTTGCGAACACATAACCTATTATAATGATTTCAAACCCCACGTGATGAGATTCGAGGCGGGGAGAGTTGTGACCAAAGACAGTGCTGAGAATCAGACAATACGGATATTGGCCATTTCCCTCTTAGGATTTCAGGATGTCTGCCGACTACAATCTTAACAAGCTGACAACCTTTAATACCCTCTAGAATATGACGTATTCCTTTTTGAGTAACCGAGGAAATAATAAGGTGGTAGTATGAGAGGAACAATGGGTTAGATGGGTGTTTTCTGATTTCTTTTTTAACTTTTTCATTTTTCTACTAAAGGATATTCATTTATTTATATTTCTGCTTTTTTTTCGGAATCTTTAATTTAAATAGATGATGGGCTTACCTTATTTGGCGCGAAATTAATTACAATTACAATAATTGTCTTACAAGTATTTTTAAATGTTCATTCAATATGGTTACATCACTATTCAAATGGAAAGTGTGAAATTGATTTGGAAAAGCATTCACCAATTTTCACTTACGTTTATCCGTATTTATTAAGGGTAAGTTGAACAATTTTGCTATCTGATACATGCTTAACAATTAATTGATTTGATAAAGAAGAATATGCTGTGGAATCAGGAAGGCACAAAAGGCCTTAACAACACATGGCAATTTCACTCTGTTCTGGACATTCTTTTCTACCTAGCAACGGTGTTGCCCATAGGCTTTCATCTTTCCTTACAAGATCTCCTCTGTGTTATACTAGAACATCTGACTCACTGTCTTATATTTGGGTTCCGCTAGGGAGCCTGATGCCTTGTGCGCGATGTCACTCATAGCTCTACTAAGCACATCTGTCTAATCCACCTACATTTTGTCTGTGTATTTGTTGGTCAATAGGTTTCCTTGTTGGTCCGTCGTATGCCCATTCTCTCGTTTCCCTAAATCTGTTATATTATCCAGCCCAATACAGTCAGAAGTATCATCGGCAAAGGCAGATAGCTGAGGTTTTCCTTTTAAGTTATCCAATATGTGGTATTATCATTTAACTGTTAGAAGAAGTGCTGACGTATTGAAGCAGCTGCTGAGTGGCTTGATGTTCAATGTTGTCTAAGGTCTTTCGAAGTCATTGAGGTTGAAGTAAAGATTTGGCTGCTGCCCTATACTCTGTCCGATAATGACAGTTGGTACCGCAATTTGGTCCACTTCTTCCTCTTCCAGGCTGATTTTGAATCAAGAGGATTTTTTAGGCAATTCATGACTATTATTATTCCATTGGGTTTCCTGTGGAACATAATGCTTCAACAACACATGTCCACTTTCTTCTTTCTTCTACCGTCCTCTTCATCCGGATTCATGATTGCCCATAATCTCTCATCTCCTACAACTTGCGCGATCTCCTCTATCTCATCCTCGAACTGATGAAACACTCGTCGATTTCTATTTGGATTTCACTCGAGCGATGGCCAGCACTGAGCGTGGTGTCATTCCACGGCCTCCTCAATGTGTGCCTGATCATCTCCATCACGATGATGCGATATACTATTTTGTTTGAAATAGACAGGAGTACAGTTCTGAACCGATTTGCAAAGGCTTGAACCGCTCCTCTTCAATGGTGTGACGAAATAGTCATTCTTCCAGTCAGTGGGTGCCCTTCTTTCATCCGGAACTTTCTGCAGTTGTGGCTAGGATATATCAATAGATGTCTCTGGTTTCATTTTCAGTGCTGCCTAAGGAATTCCATCTGGTTTGATGACTTACTAGTTGTCTTTCAGTAGCTTTATGGCATTAATGACTACTGGCTTCCCCTAGAAGACTGTTGTTTACCATAAGAGATTTGAGTAGTGGTTGGTTCAAGAATCCAGCGAAGGGATTATGCCTGGGCTTCCTTTGTTTTTTATCTTCGATAATTAGGTTTTTTTCACTATCTTTTATTGGTTTCATCCGTGCTGGTCTCTTTCCTGAAAGCCATATGATTCTCTGGTCGAAGCATTTGAAGTCATTGCTCCAGCTGTGACTAAATTGCCTTTCGTCTTCTCTAAATCTCTTCCTCACTGCTATGCTCAGTGTTTTATAGTTTGAACTAGGCTTCTCCTCTCACCTTTGCTTCAGTGCTTCTTCTGCTTTACTATCCCTCTCTCCTCTGTTAGCTACCACATACATCCACACAACAAATAGGTAGGAAAGGTAACATATATATATATATATATATATATATATACCAATAAATCCACTGTGATGTTTGTTTGTCAGCTGTCATTAAATTTACTACTAAGCAGAATGTCATACAGTTGATGACAATTTAAACAACAGTTATACTGTCCGATAAATCATCAAGTACTTTGGACATAAAAATTTATTTCCAGTTTGACATTTGCTTTTTTGTCGTAACAAGGTAAAAGTTAAAAAAGGGAATATAATAGCTGTAATTTCATTTTAATTTTAATTAATTAATTAATTAATTTTAAAGGGTTAGTTTGTAGGGATTTAATTCATCTCAAGTTTGACCACGGATTAATGCCATTCAGAAAACCATTGAAAACCAATAGGGGTACTAGAGAGCTGTTTCATCTTAGTGTGGAACTCATAGGCAGTACGCATCCAATACCAGGGTCCAAACCAGGACTTCCGTAGACCATTCAGCCACTGGGATCCGATTCAGTTGCTAGTCCATGAATTTTAGCTTCTACCAGTTCGTGATATTAGCGCGACCACCAACAAATATCATTGGCGGGAACTCCATCCTCACTCCCAACTGGATGGAACCCAGTGGTCACAACTTCTCACTAGAACTGCAGGAGACTACGTCCTATAGCCAGTCCCTAGCGACCATAAGATTAATTTTTAAGAATTAGTTTGTAGGGATTCTGTTTGTTTCTGGTAAGCCTACGGATCGATATCAGTTAGAGAACCATTGAAAACCAGCACTGGAGTAGTGGACAGCTGTTTCATCCTAGTTTAGGACTCACTGGCAGTACTTACCTATTGCGTTTCGAACCCAGGCAAGTCCGTATACCATTCAGCCACTGGGATCTGATTTTATGACCCATAAATTCTACCTTCTATCACTTCGCTATGAGAGTGATTGCCCCTACTCCTGACCGGGTTCGAACCTCGATGGTTGTGTACTGCCGATGAATCCCAAAGTAGAGCAAAACATCTGTCGAAGACTCCTGGTTTTCAATGGTTCTCTAACTGATATCAATTCGTGGACAAAACTAAAATTAATTAGTTAGTTTAAGCACTCAGTGATACAGTATTGTTAATTGGATGGAACTTCAAACATAATTTATTACCCCTAACTCTTTGCTAAATTAAACATACTGCCTTCAAATCTAGTTTTTATAGCTGCTCACTGTTGTGTCCCCATTAGTTATTCTTGTTAGTAGGGATTTCTAAACATCTTTAACAATTTTGGATTCATTCCAATTGCATGTATTTGGTTTTATTTGACAAACAAAGATTTACTAGTCAGTCTGTCTTTCCCTAACTTAATTGAATTTAGAAACAAATTTCTTTCTATCACATTTTATATTGCGATTAAAAATCAGTCGGTGTATGTGTGACTGCTATACACTATTCAAGATAACGTATTTCAGTGATATCTGCCAATATGTAGTGAGCTAAACTTTGTTTTCAATGATTCTGTCTAACCTCGACTGACTATTTTGACCCATGTACTTTGCCTTACACTGTAAGATTACTCAATCTTCTTAGCTACTCCCCGGGGTTAGTTTGCACTGTTTTACATGCTGCCAAAGTTTAATATTTGTCGAGAAACCAACTTAATCACCAGAAATGCCCATGGAGTCATGATGAAAATAAAAAAACAATTCAGCGGGAAAACTTTTCTTTATCGACAAAATCATCTTCGAAGGCTGTATAGTCGTATTTATACTTACCGTAACACGTATAGTATTCCATTTTTTGAGTAACAGGGGGAGAGGGGTAAGATAATTGATATAATTACTCAGAAATGGCTTTAGAAATAAAAAAAGCTGTAAATTATGTAATAATAAATGGCAAAAAGGAACAAAGAGTTGAGTATTTAATACGGTTAAAATTATTAGAGTGAGAATAAAGGTAGTTGAGTGTCCATTTAACAAAAGTGAAGCGGGTGTGATAATGCACAAAAGGAACATGTAGGTGTGATTATAGTGAATTAATTATTAAAGCAAAGGCAAAGTAAAAGTAAAAGTGAGAAATAAAAAATATGCAGAAAGCGAATAGGGGAGAGTTTATGACCATGATAGAATAATAGACTCGACAAACATTTTCTGACGAATTGCCAGCGCCTCCGGCATACACAAAGGCCAAAACCTGACGCCCTTTGTGCCATTTGGCCTCACCTTGTAGATGATTTTGAAAGACGACTCTGGTAGAGCTCCGTGTCCTGAGTTCACCAAGTGCTTGAGAATTGAGCTAGTAATTGTCTTGCATTGTCATTTTGCTATTTATGCGTTTGGAAAGTATGCGCTTCACAGGCGCAAGTTGATTTATAAACACACACTGAAGTGGCCCAAAGTGCCGGAAGTTTATCCCTCATATATCCACTGATCATTTATCGGCTGTAGAAATTGCTCCTTACCTCAACCAGAAGAGGCTTTTCTCAGTGGCCTGCATAATCGGTTCTTCAGGATCTCAGCTGAGGTATCATCTTTAAGTTCGACGTTCATGAAGGCGTAAACAGCAGGGAAAATTTTCTTTGCTACGATTCATTTTCAAAAGTTGTACAGTCGTATCTGTTTTTAAAAAAAAATTCATAAGACCAGTCGATACTGGTAGAATTTGTCCTCGAAAAAGTGTATTAAGTATTGTGAGGTGTAACATAAAAGGTGTGACTATTCGGAAATTAGAAAAATGGAACAGAAGTTGTGATGTCTCAATAAGTGCGAGAAAATGACTAATCATTATGGTTGTGTGGAGTGGATAGGAACTAGTGGAAATGTCATAAAATGTTTTTATAAAATCTGTATGAAAATGCAGCGTTATTAATAGACAATTGGCTATGTGTAAATTGAGCATTCTAAGCCCTTTCGCTAGGTATTGAGGAATACATTTAACACGATTATACCGCTTTTGAAACTGAATCATCACAAAGAAAATTTTCTTCACTATCTACGTTTTTTCATATTTTTGTGGCCCACCTATTTCGGGACTATGGATCGAAGTAATAGCTTGGCTGTTTTAGCATATAACTAAGCCTGCCTTACCAGCTTTCTGGTAAGAGTAGGTAAAGTGTATGTGTCCCTCAAAATGTCTGCTGGTTTTCTGTAAACTATTGTTCCTAAACTGTCATCCTCTCTTCATAGTGTTCGATATTAGTTCTTCTTCTTCTTTCTCATGTTCAAATTTATTCGAGTACTGTAACTACCAAACGTGACTTACTGCGGCTTGAAAGCAGGAACCCTATCTCTGTGTACTAATGTATAGCTGTTTTAAACTTCCTTGAGGGACTCACAACCACAAAACGCCTCAAAAAACAACTAAAAGATTACAGGATTTCATCATGAGCTGACACCAGTTAGAAAACCATTGGAAAACCTGGGAGTACTGGACAGCTGTTTCGTCCTGGTTTGAAACTCTTCAGCAGTACGCACCCACCACAAGGTGTTAGAACGAGCTCGTATACCATTAGGCCACTGGGACGCGTTCCAATGGTCCATGAATTCTAAGTTCTGCCAATTCACGACATAGCGCTACCCCTAGCCAATGTCTTCGGCGAGTATTTGTCCTCACACTCGACCTGTTACACCCTACTGGTCACGACTTCTCACTAGAGCCCCAGGTAACTACCTACCTGAACAGGACGTATTTGCCCCAGTACTTCCAGGTTTTCCAATGGTTCTCTAGCTAATGTCACCCTATGATGAAATCATGTAACCAGTTAAATTCCTACAAACCAACACTTGACTAAAGGATTGTTATTTGTGGTCAGATCTATATGGCATTTTTTGAACTTCTCAAACTTTCTCACCTGAGCCAACTTAGTATTCCATTAACAACCCTGGTGGCCATCATGGTGAATTCTCAGATTTCCTTAATAGATAGTTGAATACAATCGTCAGAAAGCCTTGGATCTAGGTTTCGTGTTTGTAGGAATTCATCAGCAAAACGTATCCACTGTGATTCTCACGTTATGAACAAAGAACAGTAATAAAATTTATTTCCAGTATATGGTATTCCTTGTTAAAATATGAAATGATATTACACTGCAGCGGTCATTAAGACGGTAGTCAGCAGAAAGAGAAACTACCTGTTTTTTTTATTAGACTGAAATATGAATGAAATCGCTTAATATCTATTCTTATAAACTAGAAGCCGCACTAATGTTTGATGCGCCATTTTACGACAAATTAATCAAGTTTTTGCACAAATCAACTGACTGTTTTATTCCATGATCAAAAATCCCTGTAAACATGTTCCTTTTTAATCTTTGACTTCCGATTGTCGAAGAACCTGCATAAACAATGATTGTAACATTTTGATTTAGAAAAAAGAGACATGATTGAAGAGAAAATTTCTGACATTTTGACTGAATGGTATTTACGCAGATAACTTCGATTGCCTTTCACAAGCAAATCCTCCAATGCTATGCTTGAAATACACTGTTGTGTTGTGGTTGAATATTTTCCCTTAATTATATGCGGTAATGCTATAGGCAAAAATACTTTGTTTCTGTGTTAAATCAAAAAAGGTAAGGCGGACAAGTGCACGCATGGTTGAGTAAAACAGAAATAAATTTGGTGTAGGTTACAATAAAATTTGTAGAGAAAAATAAACCCCTTAGATTTTATTCTGTAGGGAGGGATTAGGTGTTATAAATATAGAGATTTTAACAACCTATTCATTTGCCACACTCCACTTTTGATATAGAAAGGCAAGAGCAATCTCCTCTGATGAATGTCTTGATGAGGAACCTAATAATATTAAGCGGTTGCTCAGTGAAAATGGCTATCCAGAAAAGTTTATTGACAAGAATGTGAATCTAAAATCAAAGCAGGCCAAGGTACCAACAGCTCGTAAACAGGCCTTATTCTTACAAATGCACTTCCTTGGGGACAACATCAGAGAGATACTAACACAGCGCCTTAGAAATGAGCCGGTGAAAAAAGCATTCTCTGCTGCTGAATTACGCTGTATCTTCAAAACCACTCCTCTTTCGCCTAATTTCGACTCTTACATGTGTATCTACCAATTTAACAGCTCCTGTGGAGGCAGCTACATAGGCCATACAATTAGGCGTGTTTCTCGTCGAAATTTCGAACATCACCCTGTGTGGTTAAGTAGAGAACAAACAAAATCGATTCGCAGCGCTATTCTATCTCATCTTGTGGATACAGAGCACAAGATTGACGTTAACCATACTTTTAGGGGCATTTACTGCATACAAACGAATCCCAATTTCGACTTAAGAGTTCGATTACTTAATATTGCTGAGGCTGGCTGTTATGATCCAAATTAAGAAGCCTAATTTGTGAGTCCAAAAGAAGTTCATTCAGACATTATCCTTACCTTGGCCATCTAGGTTTGAATGACCCTGAATTTTTGTGGAATTTTCCTAAGTTTAGTTGATATTCTATTTGCTACTATAATTTTATTATTATTGTAATTTATGCATTTTTAATGAATTGTAATTGCACTGATCTTACCTTACAAATCTATATTATTTTAAAAACCCTTATATTGTTTTTGACTACTAATTTAGAATATTCTACGTATTTAAACATATATATATATATATAAATGTAGAGCAAGAAGAGGAATTTATCGAAAAGAATATTCTTTACTCAATTATATGGGGTTTTATAGGTGTCCAAATGAATATTTTCACTTAAAGAATTGCTTATGATCATCACATTTGCCAGCCTTGCCCACTGTACTAGTTGGTTGGTTTTCTTGCTAATCCTAAGCCTGGAAATAGAGGAAAGATTGGGTGTGGCAACTAGCGATCTTATCCCGGAGAATCAATCCAATCATTACTGGAACTTCAAAGTACCTCATCTGAGCTTAAGGAAAGAAATTTGGGCTTTCAACATCAATGTTTATCCAGTTCTTTTATATGGGTAGGAAACTTGGCGCATCATCAAAGGCATTTCCAACAGGATATCGTAGAATTTTGTGAGATTGCAGGCGAGAAAGAATTAGTAACAAGAAACTGTGGGTACAAACCAAAGAAGAAACTGGTGGAAGAAAATGGATATAGATCAGACACTTGCTGAGGAGATCGTTGGGTGACACTGTGCACCATACCGTAGTTTGAGTGGAACTCTAGTGGGAAATGACGAGTTTTTGGCTGGTGTCTGAGAGTGACACGGAGGAAACCATGTGAGGAGGAGATGAGGACCTATGGGCAACCATGGGGCCACCCAAAAGGGGACGGAAGTAAATAGAGCAACCTGGAGATATACTGTTGAAACCATTATTTGTCAATAAAATTAATTTTCAAGTATTGGTTTTGTAGGGATTTTGTTTGATTGCATGGGGATTTCATCATGAGCTGACATCAGTTAGAGAACCACTGGAAAACCTGGCAGTACTGGATAGCTGTTTCTTCCTAGTTTGCAACTCTTCCAGTGGTTCTCTAACTGATGTCAGTTCATGATGAAATCCTCCATGCAATCCCTACAAAACCAATATTTGAAAATTAATCTGATGCTCACTAGCGACTGGCAGTTAACCTGAGATTCTAGTGGGAAGCCGTGGCCAGTAAGGTACAGCAGGTTGAAGATGAGGTAGTAACTTGTCGAAGAAGACATTGTGAAATGGTCGCGCTATGTCGTGAATTGGCAGAAGTTAGAATTCAAGAACCATTGGAATTAGTCCCAGTGACTCAGTGGTCTACGAGATCGCTCGCCTTGTAACCAGAAGGTCCTGTGTTCGAATCCCAGTGGGTGCGTTCTTCTGAAGAGTACCAAACAGCTGTTCAGATGAAGAAAAAGTAGTCCACTGTATACCGCAAGTAACTTTCAAGAAATTAAGCAAAACGAACCTGTTGGTTAACGTGAGTAGTCTCCAACCACTCATACGAAATCAGTAGTAAAAGAAGTACTTGACAACATAAAATAAAATGAGTAAAAGGATTACTAGAACAATATGTCTAGATGTTATCTAACTTGTATGGTTTTATGGTAACCAGTGTAACGACTCTTAAGAGAGTCGTTTGTGACGCTGTAACGATAAAACAGGGAAATGTTTCCAAAATCGGTATGGTGTATATGAAACCGTGCAGGAAGACCTCTATGATAAAAGGCACAACGCAATACTGTGTGTCCAGGTGCCATACAACTTCAATTCCAATTCATTTTAACACAATGACCTGGTCTTCTAGTCGGCAGAAAGTCCAATGAGGCAATTTCACATTGGAGTTCTTCTTCACACATGTGCTTCATAGCTGAAAGTACTTCATTTGTTAATTGAGACATGTTGTTGCGTTCCTGTCCAAATCATTTTTACAAAGGATGAAGGTATCATCCATATATACGAGGGGAATAAAATAAGAATTTTCTGGTAGGATTGTTTAAAGGACCATTTTCTAGTTTACTTAGAAAGGAATGTGCTAACATGGGATTCACAGGTGATCTCAATGCCACCACATCCAACCGTCAACAGAGTTCACCTTTGAAATTAAAATCCACATTTATGGTACATTTAAGTAACAATTGTTTAAGGATTTCTACTGGGATCTCAATATTTACTAACCTATATTATTTATTGTAAATAGAGATCTTACGTCCTCCTGATCTTTTATGAGGTTTTTTAATTATCAATGTTTTGTCATTTATCAGTTTTTATGGTTCTTCTATGTGTACCTTTGTCAGGGTACTTTTACAATCATACTTGGTGTTTTTATAATGATAACAACAATCTACTAGACTGGATTTAAAGTACCCGACAGAGACTCCTCACTAGTAGCTTTTTGGCGCATTTAAACAAGGTGGTTCAAAACAGAACTGTTGATGGACCATAGGCAGGCCCTGAGTATTTAAATTTTGTATCATTCAGAGAGCAAATGATGGAAAAACCGATACTAAAGACCTATACTGGTTTACTGGTATATTACAACGTAAAAATAACTCGTGTAATCGCCAGAGTGGTTTCTTTACCTGTTGTTTTTGATATTATATGCGTCCCGAGTAGAGCAACGTCTCAGTAGCGCTGTTTTTCATAGGGTAAGACTGCTAACCTCACGGCCAGCCTTCCCTATTTACAAGCTTAATAGTACGTTGGTCAAGAATGGGACCAGGGCGACCTGCTTAGCCGGGGAACATTCTACTGTTGAACGACTGACGCAATTCAACGTCTTTAAACTCAGCTGTCGTATTCAAATTTTCACAAAGGTGTAGGTTACCACCTATTAAGTAGTGTACCTCTCATTTGTTTATAATTTTATGAAATTTTGATTTTAACATTTTCTTATCCTAATTTGTCTTTCTTTATTACAATTTTTTGCGTTTATTAGGTGATTCACTGTTCAGTCCCAAATTTTGGATGTTTTATTGGAGTAATTGTTTATGCAGTCTACTATTTCAAAAATAGCGAAAGAAATAAATCTCAACCGGATAACATCCTACCAAAAGTTAAATATGATTCAATAGATTTAAAAGGCCGCAGTGTTTCAAATGATGGGGATTGTGAAGAGTTGATTACAAGTCATCTGGAAGATAATTCACTCACCAAGTTAACACCAACTGGTACACCTTCCATTTGCAAAAAATCAGACCATAATAGAATGTTTAGGGTGGTTAGAATAAAAGATTGTTCTATCCTCCTCTCCTGTTCATTGTCGCCTAGACAAAGTCGAGTATATGAACCACAAATGACTGCTGCCACTGAGAATTCGGGGAACTGTGATAGTAGCCATAAACAGCAACAAAAACAACAGCAAAAGAAGCAACAGAAAGGAAGTAAACTGTTAAAGCATTCCATTTCCTTTTGGAGTAAAACCATGACGACAACGACGGCGATGGCGACCACCACGACCACCGCCTCTTCGTCGTCGTCCTCCTCCTCCTTCAACTCCTCCACTTGCTCAATCCTAAAGTCAGTCAACACTGGCCAGTATTTAGGCCTTATTTTGGCTATCTTTCAAGTTCTGTTCAATGTTCCAGCAGATATTGAGTGGTATTGTGCACAACATTTAAATGTGTTGCCTACAAGTGATACTGTGGCTTATTTTTATCGAATGATTAAAATATGGCATTTAGTCACCTATAGTGTACAATGCTGGACAACACTTCAGCTTTGTATTTTATTTTGGTTAACTTTTATTTTCAGCCCAATAGTAAGACATCAATGTAGACATTTATTTTGTAATTGTAAACAATTTTATTGTACACAAAAGTATTTTACATGTGGTTTCTGTGGTTATAATTGTTTATGATATATATGCTATTATATATATATATATATATATATATATAAATGTATTTGTATTTACATACACTTGTAGTTGTTGTTATTAATATTATTATGTTGATACTGGGTGTCAACTAAAGTGAGCGTTGAATAATTATCAGGTATATACCCTAAGTTTTCTATATTATGGCTATCTAGCGATTTCAAAACAAGCTATGAAGTATAAAAAGGTCACTTTTATTGTGAAATTCTTCCCAACACACCAATTATTTATTTAAAACAAACAATAATGGTTAATAAAGCAGGATTTAATGAATTCATCAAATTTCGGTGGAACTCGTCAGCCACTGAATACTCTACATACACGTATATTATATATATATATATATAACAACAGCTTGATTCCACACTGTACATTTGGTACAAGTATGGAATTTTCAGCATGGACATCGGTAGCCCAAATTTTGCAGGCCGACCATAGATATCAGGTGTGCGTCTGCAGGGGATTGAACCTCGGACCATGTGCATGAACGGTGAGACTCCTAACCACTGTGCCACCGACGCACACAATATAAATAAATATATACTTTAGAAATTACATTGGGAGATATAAGACTAATAAGTAAACAAACTACATTGAATTAGTCATGCAGAAAGACGACAGGTGCGAACGTTTTCCAGGTCACGTTCAAATAGATAAGGGGAGAGAGAGTATGAGAGATCAAAGTTACGATAAAACACATTACACTTCAGTTACATATCACTTACCTAAACAATTAGACATTAGAGAATATAACAAGAATTGCAAACAGAGTAATATCAATAGTAATAGTTATAATAACAATAGTAATAATAGTGTTGAAGTTAGTTAAGATAATCCTACTGATAAAGGATAGTTTTAAATGAATCAAGAATAATAATAAGAGGTAGAATAACAAGTAAAACATATTACCATGGTAGATTTAGAGTCCCGACCATCTCTTTTTGTACACAGGGAACTGGTTTATAAACTCGAATTGCACAAGCCTCTGCAATCGCAAGCATCTTCTTGTTTCTTTGTCTGCTGACAATAGTGAATGAATTGACCGCGTCGATATCATGTCCGTAATCCACAAGATGTTTTGTTATTGAGGTTTTCAGCACTTTGCATTTAGCTGTTTCCAACCATTTTGTCAAATGTTCCATCATGCGAGTAGACAAACACCTTTCTGTACGACCTATGTATTTGCTTCCACAAACACACACAAATTGATATACGCAGTTTGAAGTGTCGAGGATTGGCGACTGGTCTTTCCCAGATTGTTGGAGCACTCGCTTAGTGGTGTTAAGGAAAACAAGTTTTGCATCATAATAAGTCCTCCTGATGGCTTTGTCGAGTTTTCGTTTGACTACTTCCTGTACATCATCTCCTTTGAACGGCAAATCGATATAGATATGTTCCTTCAGAACTGTTTTGATTGTTTTGCAGGATCCAATTTCTTTAGAGTATTTATTGATGAGCTTCTCAAGATATCTGTTCTTAGATATTATTATTGTTATTATCATTATTATTATTCTTGATTCATTTAAAACGATCCTTTATCAGTAGGATTATCTTAACTAACTTCAACACTATTATTATTATTGTTATTATAACCATTACTATTGATATTACTCTGTTTGCAATTCTTGTTATATTCTCTAATTTAATTGAACCATAATGCAGTATATCTTAATTTTTTTCTCTCACACTCTCTCTCCCCTTATCTATTTGAACGTGACCTGGAAAACGTTCGCACCTGTCGTCTTTCTGCATGACTAATTCAATGTAGTTTGTTTACTTATTAGTCTTATATCTCCCAATGTAATTTCTAAAGTATATATTTATTTATATTGTGTGCGTCGGTGGCACAGTGGTTAGGAGTCTCACCGTTCATGCACATGGTCCGAGGTTCAATCCCCTGCAGACGCACACCTGATATCTATGGTCGGCCTGCAAAATTTGGGCTACCGATGTCCATGCTGAAAATTTCATACTTGTACCAAATGTACAGTGTGAAATCAAGCTGTTGTTATATATATATATATATATATATAATATACGTGTATGTAGAGTATTCAGTGGCTGACGAGTTCCACCGAAATTTGATGAATTCATTAAATCCTGCTTTAATAACCTTTATTGCTTGTTTAAATTCGTATCAGGAAATAAATATTTTTACTTCTTGAAGAAGCATCTAGTGATTATTGGTGATGACTGTTGAATATCCTCCAAGCTGCATGTTTTACTGAGCTAAAATATGTACCAGTATACTGTTATTGTTCTTTCGGGTTTCTAATTGGAACAAAGGGCTTCAACGGGAAGTCTCCGTTTCATCCAGTTTCTGCAGCCTGCTTCAGTTAGCTGCATAACTGCACTGCAAAGGCTGTCATCTTTCTGTCAAATGACCTCTTCCATGTCACTATTGGAAGCTTGCTGAAATCATCGTTTCCCACTCGAGTATCAGTCGAATTATAACGCAGTGCGTGATGTCACCCAACGGTCTCCTCAGAGTAAGTCCGACTTCTCCCAGGTCTCTTTCATATATTTGTTGAGCAGTAGGTTGTTGGTTTGTTCGTTCCAGGACTTCTTTGTTACAAATTCTTTCTGGCCAGTCGACCTTCTGATTTCCAGTATGGAGTCATCAAAAGGCATCAGCCGATGAAAGTTTGAAGTGGTACGTTGTAAATGCTTGAGCTAATCAGTTGACCAGTTTTTCACCCATATAAAGGAAATGGTTTCACATTGGCGTTAAAAATTCGAATCTCGTCCCTTATGATGCGTACAGAAGACGTGCTGTCGGATTTCAGAATGATGAATAATTGGCTTGCCTTTCCAGTTCAGTTGATGACATCCTGATTCTTTCTGTCTGTCTGTTTTTGAAAGGAGGATGCCGAGATACCTGAAGGGATTGACTTCTTTCATATTTATACCTTTGATGGTGATTGGTGTTTGCTGTTGTTGGATGGCCGTCTTCATCACCTCTGTTCCCTCTTTATTCACACGAAGTCAGGTCTTTTTGCTACCACACTCTTCTGCCAACTTGCTGGCTTTCACCTCGAAGTCTTCGAATTTAAATGACACTAGATATAAATCGTCCACTAGTTCGGGATTTTCTGGAGTCATATTCATATCAGTCAGACGTATTCCTGTCCTCTCGCTCCCGACGCACCCTCTGGCGCAGAATCTAGTTCGCTACGATCAAGAATATCATTATTGGTGATTGTAGGGAACATTGTCTTACTCCTACATTCACTTCAGACGCTTCATTGAGCTTTCCGTTGCTGATCTTTTGACATGTGGTAATGTCATATAGCTGTTGAATGAGGTTGATAAAGATTTGAAGCACTCGTTGGTGCTGAAGTGGTTTTTTCAAATTATTATGATTTCCTTTAATTCCTAGAGGAACATAGAGCTTCAGCTGCATGTCACCATTACGTTCGGCTCTCTACTAGAGTTTTCACCTGGCTCCAAATCTGCCCACATGCTTTCATCTCTTCTTCACATGACCTCCTCCAGGTCACCCTTGGACGACCAACTCGCCGCTTCCCCTTCGTCTTTCACTCAAAGGCTTGTGTAGTGATGTCACTTGATGGTTTCCTTAGAGTATGGCCAACGCACCTACATTTCTTTATGCTTATTTCTTGCACAACAGGTTCCTGGTTGGTTAGCTTCTAGAGATCCTTGTTGCTGATCATTTCTGACCGGCCATCTGGTGTCGAGTGGTACTGAGCGAAGACAGCTTTTGATGAAGGTCTGTAGTTTGTTTGAGATGCTCTTCATGACGCACAAAGTCTCTGATCCGTACAGCCAGTAGCACTGACTGACTTCATATTGCAGTTGAAAATCCAGATCTTATTTTCATTTTCATACTGAGTGCTGTTGACCTCCACACAGACTTGAGAGTAATGAAAGCGTGTCCTGCTTTTCCGATTTTGGCTTTGATATCCTCGTCAGTTCCATCAGCCTGTAGTCGAAACGATGCTTCCCAGGTAGGTAGGTAGGTAAAGGAGGTTGTTTCTTTCAGTTTCCTCTCATTTATGCTGATTATTGTCTGTTGGTGTTGCTGTTAGTGTTTCCCACGAATCTTTATCACTCCTGTTTTCTCTATGTTCACCTGAAGGCCTATCTTCTCAGGATGCCTTTTCTGCCAACTTGTCGCTTTGTTGCATATCTTCTAGTTTGTGGGAAATCAGACATACATCATCGGCGAAGTCCAGATCCTCCAAGTCTCTTTTTGTGTGGATCCATTTTATACCTGTTTCTGCATTGCCTGCCGTCTGTCGGATTATCCAATCAAACTAATTCATGGTTAGCAATGTCGAATAGAGGATATAAGTTTAAATTTTGGTTGTCCTCCAGAGTTTCCAGAGTGCGGTCATCATATGCCAGTGAACAGTGGAATGTATCAGCACAGATCTAGTAGACATCAGCGCACCTGTTACATGATCCAATAACTATGATTAACTCATGGTCAATAGGTTAGTTCTGAAGGTTTTGAGTTCACTCAAAAACTGACTTAATTTTCAT